CAGCAGCACATTCTGCGACTATCGATAAACTGTGTTTTGTTAGCTAAAATTTCCCCTCGTAATGAAGTTTTTAAATTTGTTGGTTGATCAAAACTATTTAGCTGGTTGCAAAGAGATATGTTTTTGAAGTGATTGAGGAGCTGGTATCCGCTGCAATCTTTTTTGAACGGCATATATGAAGAGATTTTTTAGTTCAGTTTATGCAACCAATGAGATGTTTAAAAGATAATTGACCGTAAAAGTGTTGAAACCATTCATTTAAGGCTGGTGGATTTACTAATCTTGATTTGATGATCACGCACAAATCTGCACTGTAAGTTTCTGCTATGATATTGGAAACATTACTAAGCGTATGAAAAATCTTCTTCTAAAATAATTATGAAAAGATAGCCTCTGACGAGTTATCCTTTGTTAAAACCAGTTTAAACTTCTGTTCGTTTTGCAGACAGAAAATAATACAAAGTTGTAAAGCGATAATAAAATGAGCTTTTTGCCCCGTATTTGATAAAGCGAAAGAGTTCAGTCAAAATTTACTCTATTTATGGTTTTGAATACTTTATAGCGATATATTCAAAACATTGTTAAACTTTTTCTCATCTGCTTAGTCTACGCTAAATAATAGCACACGTTTTTCACTTATGATTTTTTTAAGCTTTTATTAATGATAGAATTTACGTTTTGATTGAAAAGAATTGAATAGAGGATAAAAAAATAAACACTTCGTCAATTATGCCATCTTAGAATTGTAAAGTTTACAAGTTGTTGCACAAAAAACGCTTTTTTGTTTTTTGAAGCTTAGTGGATTGGTAGATACAATAAGCAATAAAAGTTTGAAATTTTAAGAAGAAATAGATTTCAAGTTTTAGGCGAACTAATTTTGTGTAGGCTTTTTGCTTTCTAAAGTACCACAATTTACTGATATCAATAGAACAAAGTCAAGAGTTAGTGCTAAAAATCACAAATAATAATTTTCTGTTCTTACATTAACCTGAAGCATTCCACAGCAGCAAGACTATTGTCACCTGCAAAATGTGCCTGTAAAAAAAGTTGCGAACCATTTTCAGCACTCAGCAAATTTTATTTTTTACACATTTGCTCGAAGAAGTCAGATTTTTCAAAAGAGTATTTGCAAATTATTATTAAGCAGTTACAGTTTTAGCAACTAAGATAGTCTGCTTACAAGGTGTGTTAAGTAATTTGGGAGAATTTTCACAATGATTTCTAAACTCTAAGATCCATCTGACCATTGTAATAACAGAACATTATCATTGAACCTTCTCCGTTTTTCAACTCACGGCTTTCAGAAAGTCCCCAAATGGTATTTTATTTAAATCGAGATATTTTAGAGATGCAAAAAGAACTTACACAAAAAATATTTGTATTTTAAACCTAGAAAAGTTTTTCAACTTTTTAGAATCTTTTTTGTTCCGCCTATTTTTATACAAATTAAAATTAATCAAAGCACTTTTGAAAGTAGAAATCAACTAGAACATTGAAATGAATTCGGAAAACGAATTTTACTGTGCAGCAAACAGGTAAATTTTTGCAACTTTGAAGAAACATAATTTGATGGCAAAATTGACTTTACCGAATCCTTTTTCCAGCTTTTTGGAACATTTACCAGATACCACCAATTAGTGAAATTTAAAAAAAATTTAAAATGATAATTGAAACATGAAAAATGTTTAATATTCAACATAAAGCTGTCCATATACATAGAGCTCTACCTCCTTCGCTAGAAACACCTCATTCCTTACATTAACGTAATCACTGTGCTCATTACCGATCTCCTGTTTCATATCAGCTCAAAAACTACGACCGTTTGTAAAATTATTTTAGCAGTAATAAAAGTGATAACGTTTTGGATTTGCTATTCTACAAAAATTTTTTTAACGACATTTCTTGAAACAAAACAGATAGAAATTTTTTGGTATAGAATTATGTTTCTCTTTCCGTATTGGTTGAAACAGTTTTTCTTTGGCATAAATTCAGGAATTTTCCAGATTCACTTGATTCGTTGTCTGTTGAACGTTACTGCAGAAAAGCTGTTGAAGGGTTATGTGCTGTGGCTGTTGTTGCGATGCGGATAAGGTGAGTAAAACAGATACGTTTGTTTTGGATCAGTAATGGCGGTAACATCTCTTTCATTCATTAGCTATTTATTCTTTACATTCTTCGTAGTTCCACAAACACGCAGTCAACAGTATGGTACAATGATTACGTCAAGTTTAGTTATGCAAAACTTTCTCGAATATAAACTGTTTTTTGATTCTTCACTTTTTTCTGCAGTGACATAGACTAAGCAGAATATATTCTAAATAGGTGCATTATTAGACTGCAAAAAAGTGAGAAAGAGATAAAAACTAACATTTTTTTGCTTATCTAATGAAAAAAAATGAGGAGATAAGGTGTGCTAAAGAGATTCAAACTAATTTGCATTTTAATCTTATAAAACTGTCTTTAATGCAAAAAAGTATTGGCATTTTACATCTTAATGTTTACCCATTTATTCGTCTTCTTGTACGTTTCAGGCTTCAGATATTTCATCGCCTTCTGTTACTCATTTCTCAAGGCGTTGCACCGATACTCCCTGTGTAGCGCTTTTTATTATTTTTTGGGGGACTGTAGTGAGTTGTACACTCCAATAAATACCTAAAATTTTTTAATTATTACTTAGTAGTAATCCTTAAAGAAAAAGGTTATTGATATGCTGTTTTATTTTTTTTTCAGATTGCTATAGCAGTTTATGGTGCATTGGAGGGGGACTCATATCAAATAATTCGCGGTATCGATAGTTGGGGCAACATCTGTGGTAAGGATAATAGGCACCGAAACACAGAAAGCAGCCAGTATGCTGTTGACATGAGTGAAAAACTGTTAGTGTTTTAAACTTTTTTGTAGTTGTATTCAGAAGCGCATCTGTAAGTTTTAAAATTTAGATCAGTTTGGGCATCTTATACTTACCTTTCGGTGAGATCCCGCCTAGATCTTTCCACTGCCGATAAAAAATTACAAAAAACTGGCCATGAAAAATGTGAACAACTTCTATTTCTGTGTTTCTAAAACATCCGTTTTAAAATAGAATTCGTCATTTATGCACCAGACTTATTGCTTGTTGGTTAAGTTTTTAAAGTTTCTGAAAATAAGTATAAAACTTTTGAAAAGTGAGAATTTATTGCAGAGCAGATTCTGGTCGCTTCCTCTTAGAAAAATTTATTCCATTATCATTATTTGTTATAATATAAGACTTTGTATTATAATAATTTTTTGCTTTTAAGGTATGTTATGCCGGTTTACTCAAAAGTTCTACTACGTTCTGCTTGGATATGCGTTGAGTCCTGTCTTGATGTTGCCTCGGAAGGTACTTTAGCGTTTCATAATGCTACCAATTACCGATACTGCTTTTTGCCTCCTGGAACGTCAGAAAGGATTTGCGCCACCGGATTCATTTTACCTAGGTTGCTGTTTAGATACTGCTTATTTAATCAAAATTTTCGCAGTTTCTTTCTTTTTTCTTTTTTTTTTGAGGTTTTTGCTTCTTATATTTAGACGGATTGACAAACTGTCTAATTCTTTACGGCAAGTAAGGCGTTTTAAATGAAACTTTATTTAGAGTGAATGATATGAAACGCTCGTACAAAAGCTTTTTAAAATTAGAACTGCACCAGTGTCATTTTTCTTCCAACATAGTAAACAGTCAACGTCATATTCGCAGCGTAACGACAACTAGTGATGAATCACGAAGTAAAATCAATTTTTAGCCGAGGGCTTTTTTCTTCTCGATGCATCCCCGATTATTTTGTGGATTCGACTTCTAATGTTCCTGAGGAACAGGACAGTGAAAGCGAGTATGGAACATTTTTTGACGAAATTTTTGTCGAGTTTGAAAAGGCTACTGATGTCACGCTGTTCCTATGCTGCTTCGCTTTTGGTAAGTTCACGTATATTCAGTGGATAAGCTGTACTAACATGTCAAATTACTAAAAACAATTCAGCAATGGTTGTTAACAGATATTCATTTTGCACATTTTGACAATTCGTAAAGAGCATCCTCAGTTTTAGAACAAATTTGAAGTTTTACAATACCATTTTGCACGTCTGCCTAGATGACAATCTGTATTAAGTGAATTGCGTGTTTTTCTCATAATTTGTTAGATTGAGCTACAAATGAAAAATTATTGTTTTTTTCAATGACAAAGTGAGTACATACTGAAGGGTCTTGAAACATTTTTTTAAAGCAATTCATAGACTTCTGTTGTATAGAAGGTTTTCAGTAAGATGCTAAAATACTTTCGCAAAACTTAACATCTTTCAGATTTTACTGGTACTGGGCTCGAAATTTTTTGAACGAAAGATAGAATAAGTTCGTATGAAATTTTAATTCCTCTTTAATGGTTATAGTTTTTATTTTTAGTTTTTTGCATAGCAACTCTTTTCATTGTCGGATTTTTGGCTTCGCTCATCATCTACTTTTTTCTGGCGGCTATAGTGACACTTGGAATTGGTATGCACATTCTGCTGTCGTAACAGACGATTGATACAGTATTAGCAGATTTCGTGAGCTCATCAAGTTTCTTTAGGTGTTTCAGTTATGTTTTGGGTCAAATTTGTTTCGCTCAAACTTGACCGAACGGGTTATTCTAATCAGACTGTCTTAAATGCGGAATTACACGGAACCGTCATGAGTGTTCGCTCAGAGACGATGCTTATCTTTGCAATTGCTTCAACTGTAATTACAGTAAGGTATTTTCAGTAATACAGCTTCAGTTGTAAAACCCAACAGATGTTGATTTAACTGGAAACAACTGTAATTTTGTGTTGTTGTTGTTGTTGTTTGCTTTTGTTCGCAAAGTTTTCTGGACTGAGTCTCTTCACAGAATTTTGTTATTACCTCTGAATATGAGAAGTCTCTTTGTTTCTGAAACAGAGTTTATAAATTGCTTAAGTGGTTTTTCTTGTGTTTCAAAACTTTTAAGTCGGAGCTTATTTTATTTTCTTTACATCTTTTATTTTGGGGGATCCTGACTCAAATTTACAGTGATATCATCGATTACAGTGTTTCGTTGTTACGGCAATATACTGCCTATTTCCGCGAATCGCTCTCGTAATAAAGCTTTTTGCTGAGGCCGGAAGAGCGCTGCGTGCAATGCCTTGTCTTTTCCTTCAGCCGCTGGCAACCTTTTTGGCAGTAGCTGTAGTAACCTCTTTTTGGGTCTTGATTATTTTCCATATTATTTCAGCAGGTAAGAACAATCGACATCTAAAAAAACATATAGTCAAAATATTTAAAACTGTTCTTTTATTTTCTCTTATTTTAATTTAAGATCATCTTTATGAATTATCTAATAATTTCAGCTATGACTGGCTCATCGTATTGTTAGTGTACTGAACGTCTCTTAGGATTTATTGAAACTTTTGTAAAAATCGACAGAAATATTTAATTGTTTAGATGCCTCTCTTGTCGTCAGAAAGAAAATTTTTGGCACTTCAGTATTCTTGTTTTAAATGGTTTTTAAGATAAAACGAAACAGAAAATTAATTCTCGCGAGAGGATGTTTTTTCACTTAGTGAATTTAACGAAAAACTAAAGAGAAATTTTTACAGTTTTGGAGTAATATTAATTTTGCAAAAATTAGAAAGTTTTTTTGTTGACAACAAAAAGTGAATATTTTCACATTATTAGGTTTTTTAGAATCATGTAAGAAAGTAGCATTTTTTTTGAGATTATGAAGGACAAAAAAAGAACAAGCATCTGCAAAATAAGCCAGTTTTTTTACCACTGTCAAAACATCTACACTTGTTTCTCTAAAAGTGGTAGTAATTTTTTCGGAACTTATTTCTGAGAAGACGTCGTATTGTATTATCTTTTGTTATTGGTTAATCTTATGAAGTAGTGTGGAAAACCAATTCCGTCAAAGATTCTGTTCTGAAACTAATGAAACCTAACGTTATCTTTAAAGTTCCAGGTCCGCTAAAGAAAGCGAAGTTTCTGATTGCAAAAAACCAATACATAGAGGGTTACAAGCCGTACATCGCCAACCGCCAACGTTGGATTTTATATTATTTGTTTTTTGGATATGTCTGGGTAATTCAATTTATTTTTGCTTGTCACCGAATGATAGTAGCAGGTGCTGTTACAATATGGTATTTCAACCGGTAGGTCGATTTGCTAAATGGCGCATTTTTATTTGTCACGGATGAGATTACGAGTGCCTTTTTCAAAAGTTACGTGTGGAATTTAGTGATTTTTTTACTTATAAAATAGGCGTTTGAATGCATAAGCCTAAAAACCTGTCTATTCTCAATATCAATTCAACTTTACAAAACTTTTTTTCAGATACTATTGTACTGTGAATTTGCTTTTCAGTCAACCTAATAAATTCTACTTTCTTTTTTAAGTAAAAGCTATATTTTTCCGTGTTGCAAATCGTTAGTAAATGTCTTAACTTATCATATTGGATCGCTCGCTCTTGGGTCACTGCTGATTACATTAGTCATGATACCTCGATATTTACTTTTTGCTTTAAAGTATAGGTAAGCTTTATAGTTATATGTTGTTATGCTTTTTTCTGACAAGTCTTTGTTTAAATCTCATCAGTGAGGCAAGTATCAAGAATAAACATCTTTTACTTGTTCTTAGGCGCTGTCAACAGACTTGCAGGTTAAAAGAGAAGAGTGACTTAGCATCATCCTTCTTTTACAACATAGTTGTAAAAACTCTGCGAGCAATTGAGCAGTGCGTACGTGTCATCAACCATAATGCTTACATTATGATCGTCATAAAAGGCAAAAACTTTTGTCCTGCAGCAAAGTTGGTAGGCCAGTTTTTTAGTCCTGATTTTCTAGGATTTATGTGGTGAGATAAAGTATCGTTTGGGATTTATAAAGTATCAAAATAAATTGTTATCATGGGGAATTTCTTGGCAATTGTTTTATATTTTTCTGATTGACTTAGTCCGGTCTTGCATTTTTAATTTCTGCTTCGTTTTGCATTACCATAAAACATTTATGATTTTGAGGCACTAGAGATTCTCATGGACAGGGCTTTCGATTTCGCTACAGTTAACATTATTGGCGATTTAACACTTTACGTGATAAAATTTCTCGTTACACTCGCTGTTTTCTTCATTGCCTTAGTTGAGTTTAAAGTTAGTTTCGGCAGTGTAAAATTTCATTTTAGCTCTACTTTGTGCTGCTTATTCAAAACACTACTGTAAATAGTAAACGCTTATTTTTGCAGGTCAGATTAGGACTTGAAAGTTGGATTTTTTGGAGTATTTTTGTTGCTTCATTCACTTACTTTGTCGCCTCTTGCTTCCTGAATCTTATTGAAATGATAGTTGACACATTATTCCTGGCATTTGCTCAAGACGAACAGACTGTCGGTAGTGATGGGAAGCTATGTTACTATAACCCAGAGTTTGCGGTTTGTTTTCGCTCTTTGAGATTCTTATGTCACGCAGTGTTATTGAAATGTTTTTCTGGAAATAAAGTAGGGTATCTTTTGTTAAACGAGACACGAGGCTTTTTGAAGGAGAATAGATTTTCAGAGCTTCATTGATTCCGTTAAATCTGTGGATAAGGGAGAAGGAAAATACAGCGAAAATGACGAAGTTTTTGTATCGTCCAATGAATAAGCTGTTCAATTTCAAAGCAACTTTATAATTTGCTTTGTAATTTCTGCGTGTCATATTATTTTTTAATGTTCACGAATGGTCAAGGGCTGTAAAAAATATTGTAATTGTATTGCTTAACACCTCCTTTGGATTTTAAAGCAACTGAAATTTTCCGGTTTGCATAAACTAAAGTTTTATACCTAAAACCCTCTGCAGAGTCTGCAGTCTGTTAATTTAATAGTTTGCTTGGGCCTATTTCAGGCGACGGCTATCTTTAAAACTATTCGAGTTCCACCCTCTTTGTCTAACCACTTCAGTGTATCGGTAAATTTCTATAAACCTAAATATTTAGTCGCTTTTTTTTTCTGCAATTCTTTGATGGTTGTCTTTGGCAACACCGTTCTTGCACCGAATGCAACCTACGCATTCCTTAAACTTGATGAACATTTTCTAGCTTCGTTCTGTGTTGAATAGGATTTTGCCATCGTTAATACCATCTTTTATGTCTTGTCTTTAAGACTGCTGCAAACAGGAAAAAAACGTTTGTTTTTAGCTGGGATCCTTACCGTTTATTTGAAATAACCGTATAATTACTGTTGATAATGCTTTTTTCATTGTAAGTTTGAGTAAATTTTTCTAAGATTTTGTTCACATTACTCAATATCTGTTTCGTAAATGCGATGAATGAAAAGTTGCAAATGTTGAAAACTGTGTCTCATTTAGCGTAAGTTGTCAGGCTGAAGCTGGACGCTGGTTAGTAATCTACAGATTACGTTCTCATACCTGTACTTTGAATAGTGAAGTGAAATAGAAGAGCTGAGGAATGAAAAAGGAAAGATTGTTCAGTTCAACTGACATCATCCTTACTGACAAATTTTTTACAAAATTAACATAGTATATCGTTTTACAGCAGAACTTATAAGACTTGAGAAGAAAGTTTGTTTCGTCGTTGCGTCGCTTATTCTTGTCTTTCCCGTTACTCTATCTGGACCAAAACTGAAACAAATGCATTTTTGAAACAAGTAGATTCAAGTTTTGGTAAACTTATAAGTAGTTGTTTGCAAAAATGCCACTTTAAGCTCCAGACTGCTTTTTAGATCACATATCCAGAAGCGGTGAAGTGTGTTAATTTGTGCGCACTTGTGCATGTCAGTATCTGTCTTTTATCCTATGTAGCATCTTTTAAGACAGTATAGCACGTGTAAAACTGCTATTAAAAAATTAAAAGAAAGCTAAATTCTGTTTACATTTTTTGTTAGCGATAAATACAAATATTAACACTTAAAAATTATAACAGTCCATAGCTATATTTAGGTAATCAAAATTTATTATAAGGCTGGACACGGATGCTCAACTAATTGCAAAATTAATGAAAT